TATATATACCTTGATCAAAAAGTTCCCGGAATTACCACCAGGTGGTGCTCTGAGTCAGCTGATTTGAGTTCTGTTTTTTTGGTTAGGTTGTCATATCTATCATTAACATTTCCATCAAATTTTATCGCCATAGCTTGACATTTGTAAAAGTTACGTCGTCTTGAGTACATAATATGTATACACATGTCATATATCCTAAATAAAAATATATATCCTGGTATATATTGTATATATATGTATATGTGTGAATTTTATCCTTCTTTTTTTCAAATGTTTTTTTATATTACACGATATGCAATAAATAGAATTCTCTTCCGAATTTGATTGGAAATTATAGATCGTCTAAAGTATAGGCTTTATAGTTTTATCTATATAAAAAAAATATTCTATTCACTGTAAAGATGGAAAAACTCATATGGAGATGTGGATTCAGAAATGTTTCTTTTTCAAATTATAAATATTTTTTATTTACAACAGACTTTATTAAGAACAATTCATTAAAAAAATTGCTGGAAATGATTTCCTTCCGCATGAATGCATGCCTCGCATTGATATATCTCGTGGATTATTTTTCTATTCACCTTCTGTTCATGGATTTATATTTATAGGGACATCTTGAGCCTTATTTATGTGGAGCTACACATGGTTTCATTGCATGGTCGATTAATAATCGACGAATTCCGAGTTTGATCTCATTTCTTGCCCTATATATGCTGCCATATGCATATCATTCGCTTTAAGAAGTTGGTATTTTCTGTACGACTTGTTAAGAAGCTGGAATTTATTATTGATTAAGGAATGAGAATTCTTGATTATATCTATATGCATACTAAGTGCTATATAAGTTGTTATCTGCAGACATGTCGATGCAAGGCATATTGTCTGTATATATTATACATAAAAATATTTATAATATGGAAATCAAACATTTCTTGACTCACATTTATACAACTTTCATCCTATTGTTAAAGTTTGACAACATATTTTTGAAACACACACTCTATATATTTTCAAAATTATACAAAATAAATAAATTTATTTTTTATTTTTAACTGTGTTCCTTATGTTTATTTTAATTCATAATCATTTATCATATTTAAATAATTTTTTTTACATTTATTTGTTATTGATTTTAAACAGAAAAAGAAGTTACATAAACTGGAATATAAAGATTAACAAATCATTCTTATGAAGATAAAGATCCGAATCGGAACGCACCTGAGGAAAGATTGAACCAGTGTCGATCTCGTGATAATGAATGACACACACTTGGACGATTTTTACTTTCTGCAGATTATTCGTTCCCGCGAGTGCCAGAACGTTCGAATTCTGGCCGAAGTTTTCCAATCTAAACGGTGTTATCTTTTCATGGGTCTTCCCATGCGGCAGACGTAGACCCAATCAGAAAGTAACGCAGAACTTTCGATTTAACTCGTTTCACATCTATCTCATGCGAGATGCTATTGCAACAAATCGATAGTTGTAGATCGAAAATAATAAAGTATAATAATTATGAAATAATATGTTTATCTCTGAATTGACGTTATTAAAAAATTAGACGTCATTTCGCATGTATTAAATTACAGAAAGTCAATATTTTCCACATTTTCCAATTCATATAATATAAATAGAAATGAATTTGTTTTTGGAATAATTTTTAAATTTTTATACGCAGTTTTGTGCAATAACAGTTTCCAATATCATTTTGTCTAGTATTTTTCTTATTATGTCTCAAGATATAATAACTGTCATAAAAATAATAGAGGAAAGTCGTCGATACTGACATAGCTCTCTTAAAGTGACACCTCCTTATTTCTCAGAAACTAACTATTGTACTTTATTAATACTAATAAAATCATGATCTGTTTAGCTAATTAAAGAAGTACAAATTTATAATTCGTATATTTGTGGCTTTTTTATACCAAATCAGCTAAAAACGAATTCTACAAATGCGAAAATAAAATTCTTACGAATTTCTTTCGCAAATTGTGTGGTTTAAATAATAGTGACTATATTATTGATAATATTACGTCATTTTAAATGCTTGTAATTTCCTAAATCAGTTTCATTTATATTATTTTTTCTCTTAATCTTTTCATAATACGATTTTAAATTAAAAATTGGGTTGCAGTGTAAACCGTCTTTGACAGGTTTGCACACCTGTCTGTAAAACAGACCATGAGCTAACTTAATCTTTATAATGTTGCTTTATAGTGTCAAATAAGTTTATTGGAGCTGAAGGCAATCATGCATATATGGAAAAACTCCTGAAAAATTATCGCATTACATATTTGTATCTTGCGGAACAGCATAAAATAAAATGCATATAATTCAATAAAAATGTTTTATAACGAAGTGAAAAGATTCTGGAAAATCTTATATACATTCACTTGTAGGTACTTTATACAAATAATGCTTGTAAAATAAAAAGAATATGAATACGTAGCATTATTGCCTACTGTATCAGTTTTGGAGCCCGTCTTGTAAGACGCTCATTTTTGCTTACCTTACGAAAAAATTAATTATTGCAAAATTGCAAACAGTATTATAAAAACTGCTTATACTATTTGATAGAAGACACTTTTCAGTTTGTACTTATGTTTTTAAAGTTTTATTTTTACCTTTTGTTTAAGAAATATTGTCTAAAAACAAAGTGGTATATCGGTATCGGCGACTTTCCTCTAATAAATTATAAATACATCCTTTATAAATACATGTAACATTGCTTGAATTAAATATCTATATAAATTATGTACAATGTTTAAGCGAATTAACATATAAATTACAAATAAAAACAGGTTCCAATTTAGCAATTAGTATTTTGCAAGTAATTTGCGTAATAATGCCTCGATTAATATCGATTAATCTTTGATAATTAACACTACACACTGAAGACCGTATTCCATGCGTGCGATATATTTGATTAACCGTACATAACCGATTATGCTCGCGGATGCGTTTCATCCGATTTTAATGTACTACACCTGTATGGTTTTGTGTGCATTATGTATGAACGGAAACACTAAATTCTGCGTTTCAAGGAAAGGAAAATCTATAATACTTAGCGGTATAGCTTTTACGGGTATGAAATGTTTCATATAAACATTATAAGATTAAATGAGATTATTTATGCAAAATGTAAAATGCACTTTTACCTTATTC